TCTGAATTGAATATTTTAAACAAGCAGCCAATAACTTTCATATGGTTTGTAAGTAGCAGGAGAGTCGAAGCTGAAATGGAATTTTCTGGGACAGTCTACAATAACAGTTAACATATGCTTAAAGTTACAAGCAAAGCAGGAGTCTTATAAAGTCAAACAGGGGAGAAGAAAGGTTGTGAGTTAATAAATAAAACCTTTTTGCCCAAACTTCTTAGCAAAATACCATTGCAATTATTTTGAAAGGAATTACATTTGTCAATATTAGAAGAAAATAAGAAGTGACTTTAACAGCCACAATTTATATCCATCATAAATTTGATGGATTCCAAAGACAGAAGAATAATGCAAACACAAGATAATGCTAACAAAGAATGCACATTCTTCAATTACTTTATAGCATCTAAAAATTGATTTACATTTGCAGTTGAAGTTTCATCTAGAACTGCTTCTAGTTAAAATACTGTTCTATGTCATAACATACTTTGTATTCAAGATGTTCGTTAACATTATTGATAACAAAAAAGTCACTCACTTAAAACTTTGCAAATTTTCTTTGTTCTTACCTAATATTGTTTTGCATTTCAGTAAGTTCTTATAGTTGTAACTTCATACATTATTACTAGAATTTTGAATTTCCTCTTATTTAGAGCAACAGTCCAATGGTGGGAACCAGGAGATTTGATTTCTATTCCCCTGGATGAACCATTAGGAGCCTCGTGGCTCAGAGGTTAAAGTGCCTGACTGCTAACTGAAGAGCTGGTATTGGAAGCCCATGAACCATTCCATGGGAGAAAGATGTGGCAGTTGGCTTCTGTAAAGATTTACAGTCTTGGAAATCCTATGGGCAGTTCTATTCTGTCCTATTGGGTCACTGTGAGGTGGAATTGACTCAACAGCAACAGGTTTGGCTGTGGGTTTTGGATGAACAATGTCATAATACTCGTCCATGTGGCAGCCTTAACATCTTTTGAGTATTAGTCAACTGTGGTTGCTGTAAAATGATTACAAAAAGACCCACCTTACCTATCTTACAGCGTTATGAGTCTGAAATGGAATAAATTATAAAATATTTAAAATACAGTGGTGATGGGTGTGCTAGCAGTAATGGTAGCAGAATGTCGTTGTTGTCAGGTGCCATCAAGTTGGTTCTGACTCCTATTGACCCTGTGTACAACACAATGAAACACTGCCCAGTCCTGTGCCAGCCTCAAAGTCAGTGCTATGGTTGAGCTCATTACTGTAGCCACTGTGTCAATTCATCAAATTGAGGGTGTCCTCTTTTTCACTGACTCTCTACTTTACCATGCATGATGTCCTTCTCCAGGGCTGGTCCTACTGATAACATGTCCAAAGTCCTTAAGATGAAGTCTTGTCATCCTTGCTCCTCAGGAGCACTCTGGCTATGCTTCTTCCAAGACAGATGTTTGTTCTTCTGGCAGTCCATGTTGTTGTTGTTGTTGTTATGTGCCGTCGAGTCAGCCCTGACTCATAGCGACCCCTCCTTGGCAGTATCACTACGGAAGTAGGATTGCCCAACCTTCCTTCCGAGGAGTGGCTGGTGGGTTTGAACCACCAGCCTTCTGGTGAGCAGGCAAGTGTCTTAGCCACTATGCTACCAGAGCTCCCCATAGTATATTCAATATTCTTCACCAACACTATTATTCAGCAGTCGTGGTGGTATTTAAGAGGAAATTCTGCTCCAAATCATCAGCGATATCATCAGATTCACCAAACTTAACTGTAGATGTAAGATACTACTTATGTTCCTTGATGTAGCATAGAATTCAGTGGCTTTGCCACGATGATTGTATTGTTTTTCTTTTAGGCCGGACTGTTTCAAAGATTAGTATTTCACTGACAGGCGTGGACATAGTGGCTTATTAAAACAGAAATTCTATATAATGTTGTTTACCAACCCTTGATTAGCAAGATTAGTAAACCAGAATAGTATAAGTATAGACTAATCTGTATTTCTCTAATTCTATGAACCATAAAATGCAGTGTGTCAATTGTTTTGAAGAAACCTATTACATGATTCTTTTAAATGCTTCAGAAATAAATACAATGCTTTAGAAGTGTGTTCACCAATTAGAAGTCAATCTAACAATTATTAAATGGAAGGTTGGTGTATCTTTGAGTCTAGTGTAATCTGGGCACAGATTCTGGCTGCTTTGAGGAAGAAGACGCTCAATGTTTATGAGGTTTTACCAATACTTGATTTATGTTCCTCACCTGCAAATCCTCAGCTCTCTTAGGTTTCTAATACTTTAGAAAGAATTCACAACACTCCCACCACCTCCAAATACATTTAGCTAAAATGAAGTGAAATTCTACGAGGGATACAGTCATGGTCAGGGCTTTCTGGAAGTAAATGTAAGATGCTAACCTACCACTTGTTTCCCTGTCATGAGTTCACTGTCCCAGGCTGTTCTACCCTGATCCCTTTCAGACCTCTTGGAGGTTAATTTTAGTTTTACAGAAAGGACCCAGCGAGAGGGACTGCTGTCTTTGCAGAACCTGTGTTGGTAAAGCTTAGGAGACTCTTACCTTCCTGGTCTCCTGGGCATCACCAGACAGAGGGAAGCACTGTGTGTCCAGGGCGAATCCTTTCTTGCATCCACTCGCCGGGGTTGGGGTGGGTGTGTTTGGGGCAGCCCCGGTGACAGCACCTGTCAGCTTCCTTGTCCCCCTGAGCGTCAGGGTCTGATAGAACAGACAGCCGGCCACCACCAAGCCCACCAAGAAGGGCCGAGGGCAAAGTCGCCGACGACACAGGATCCCTGGGCGACAGACCATGACCAGTTCCGCTTCACTTGGCCCCTGTCCACTTTCCGGGAAAAGTCATAGCAGCTCTTTTCTGTCAGCATGAAAAATAAAAATCTGTCGTCTTCCTCTACACTTAAATCAAGCTTGCGCCATTCCCGCTGAAGAATTTTCCAAAGGTTCATGCCCAAGAATCATAAGTCCCAAAAGTCTGAGGTGGTTAACAAGAGCCTTTCCACGTAGGACAGTGAAGAGTGGCTGACCTGAGCGCGTGTAAAAAAAAGACATCAAATAAGAATAGTTGCAACGCAAACCTGAGTGTAGAGCAGGCTGCCAAACCGTGGCTTCCGGTTGTGCCTTATTTCCACAACACCTCAAAGTCCCAGTGAAGGAGTCCGGCTGCTGCCTCAGCTCAGAGGGAAAGAGAAAACAGCACCAAACAAAGTCAGTCTGGAGGCTGGAAACCGCGGTGAAGAACGCAATAGGTTTAAAGCCCAAAGTGCCTGGAGGCCGGCCAGTTCCTCATTTTTCCTCGTTTTTAAAGCGGTCCTGCTCCCAGCCATGTAGGTTTCTTAACTGCTTCCCTTCATTCCGTTTTAAATTGCTGTTTTCCTGTAAACTTTCACGGATTTTAACATAAAAAAAAAAAAAAAAAAAAGAGGGAGGGGGAATCATCGGCTTCAATGGCATGGGTACTGTTAGGACTTTGCAGTTGTTTCATTCCAAGTTCAAAGTTCTATGTACTTACTCAGTTTTCATCCTTCTAGCCAGAAAAAAAGTTTCCATGATCCCCCTAACGGGTTGCTGATCAAAACCACTGGGAAGGAAACACGCAGTCGTATGAGTGCAATCAGTTCATCACACACACACACACACACACACACACTCACACAGGGGCACATGGACACACGCGCAGTTACCAAGGCACGCAGGCCCGGAGCAGGGGACCTGGCTCGGCACCCCGGCTGCCCAGGCCGGGCCGGCGGGGCGGAGCTAAGGCTCGGGGCTCCTGGACCCTCGGGACCAGCAGGAGCCGCAGTCAGCTTTGCATCTGGAACAGCGGGCTTCGGCCTGTCGGAGACAGTGGTCTCATTTCCCCTGAAATGCGGCTGCCTCTGCACAGCGGCTGACTTTTAAACACATGCTTGCCGTTTGATCCCTTGTCACTTGTCTTTCCTAATACAACTTTGGAAGAATGAATGGCCCTTGGTCGACGGATGACAAAGGTGGAAGGCTAGACTAAGTGGACTCCGGGAGGGAATTGAACAGTTCGTTCCTGCAGGGAATTATCTTTAAGAGGGCCACGAGCACTGTCATGCCCGGAGAGTGCCAAACCCTCTTGGTAGCAACGGAATAGAGCACTCTTGAGTGCCTCTCTGCTTTGATGCCGACCTCATACCTTCATCATCACTACTTTAAGGAGCCCTGGTGGCGCAGTTAAGCGCTCAGCTGCTAATCAGAGGACACCTCCAGCCCACCCCGTGGCTTCTCTGGATAAAGACCTGGAGAGAGGCTCCCATAAAGACGGCAACGAGGGAACCTTATGGCGCAGTTCTGCTGTCACAGGGGTCCTTAGACGTTGGAATCTCTTAGCCTAACAATATCTACCTTGTAGGGTTGTTTTCAGGCTTACAGGTATATATGCAAAATTATTATTATTGTATTTCCCTGGACTAGTGAAAGGCTAATTGCCTACCGCTACACTCATAAAAAGGAGCCCTTCTGCATAGCTCTCGATTGCGAAGGGAAAGATTGGCAGTTCAAACCCACATAGAGGCTCTCCGGGGACAGATGCGGCAATCTGCTCCCTAAAGGTCACAGCCAGAAAACCCTATGGGGCAGTCTCCTACAGGGTCCCAGTGAGGCAGAATCAACCGGACAGCCAACAGTTATCCACTCCTAAAATGAACTGATTGTTGCAGGTGTTGGGTAATTTTTGCCCAGCGGAGAGGAGTATGCAAAATTATTATTATTGTATTTCCCTGGACTAGTGACTGGGTTTTCCAAAGGCTAATTGCCTACCACTACACTCTTAAAAAGTGCCCTTGTGGCTTTGCCCAGAATTCAACTCAATCCAATGCCATACAGACCACCACAAGGATACTGGGAGAGCAATTCTTCAAACTCCATCCATTTTATGAGTCAGTTCCAGGAACTCCCGGGAGAAAGGTTTTCTATCTACATAGAGCCTGTTTGCTCCCTCTCTCACTCCCTACTTGGTGAACAGCCCAGGACTGTTTAGGGCTTTATCAGACATTCTTCAAAGGCTATGAAACTAAATAGGTTTTCTAGTTGTCTAACCCAAACTTGTTCTTGTGGGAAAGAACTTCTTACGTGAGGCCACACCCCTAGAATGAGCCCATCCCTTAGGCCAGGGACTGTCAGTCACTTATATTTTGTGAGACGGTGCGCCCCCTAGGGGTAACCAGCTAGTATAGACTCAGAGACAAAGACATTTATAGTTCGTTGCTTTAAAAAAAAAAAAAAAAAAAAAAACCTATTTTAACATTTTATAAAAGGATTTGCAGTTTTATTGTCCAGACCACTGAAAAAGTTTGAGGAATCAAAGGATCGTTTTATGCATGATTCCATTGTTGAGTAGAGAGTACAAAAGGAGTACATCAGATGCTAAAATCAAATTACCTTGAGTTGGGAGAATTGGAAGACAACAGCATGGGTGATTTTAAGATGCTATAACTGGACTTCAAATAATAGGAACCAGTGTGATGGTGGAAAATTAGTGTTCCAGAAATGATGCTGGTGGGTTAAAGATTCATATTCCCCATCTTAACCACTGAGTCTGAAGAAATGGGAGAAGACAGCAGACAAAGTGACGTCTGCAGAAGAGAGAACAGACTTAGAGTGGGATGGTAGAAACAAGACATGGAAAAGTAGGCAGAGCAGGAATTATCCCCAAGGAGCCGGAATCCATCAACTACATCTGAGTCTAGACTGACTCCAATCTGCGTCTAAATCTGGCACTGCCTCTCTTGTCAGCTGTTCTTAAACAGTGATTTAATTTCTCTAAATCTCAGCTTTTACTCCTTTGTGAAATGGGGATGCAAATGCCCCTTTGACATGCTCTTGGAATGCCCAGATGATGACGTGTGGAAAGCACCGAGGCATTCTAGATGCATGTCTGCTTGCTGACTGCATGTCTGTGATGCGTTGGATCCTGGGGTTGAGCTCTGTCCTCACAGACCTGATGGTCTGGTGTGGTATCAGACATGTGAATAGATAATCATCAGATGACAGGCCACATGGAACACAAAAACACCAAGGTCAAACATACGTACTTATAGAGCTCTCGTCCCTTTGCTTTGTGAAGTGGAGTGGTAGAGACTAGTTTGGGAGAATGTCAAGGCCAAGGGTGGTATGGGAGTGGGCATTTAAGCGGTGACACATGAAAGGTATGTATGCCTGAGGAGTAGGTTAGACCTATTTGAATGTAAGGCTGAGTAGAAGCCAGAACAGTGAACAATAAAGACAGAGGAAGATAGTTCAGTGTGAAGAGGGACGGGGGTGAATACGCAGCGCAACTATCAACATGTGGACTCTGACAGGTTCAGAGAGCCTGCTTTTGTGTGTATAGTTTCATAAAAGAACCCCTTCCACTAAGAATTCTCAGTACTCGAGGGCTTGTAATTAGCAGCATTCTACTGGGACAACAGACGGATAGGCCTTTCAGAATCCGATCATTTCAAGGTTGGATGAAAACAGCAGCACAATCTTCCAAACCTCTCCTCCACAAAATCCACTTTTCCATACACTTATTTTTCGTTTTGATTGCAGATACCGGGTAGGGGGAGAGACTGTATTCAAATAATCATTGTTTGAAAAAGTTATTTTTCAAAAATACGTATTTTTGAAAGCTAAAAGAACAAAGAGATCTAGCATGTAAAATGCCAGTGCTGGGTCAATAGAGATCTGTAACACATAACATTTCAGTGTTGGGTCAGGAAATCTTGGGAAAGTAAGTCGCCTCTCTGAATTTCAGGAGCTCTGGTGGTGTAGTGCCTAAGGCATTTGACTGCTAACCAGAGGCTGGTGGTTCAAACCCACCACCCACTCCTCAGGATGACTGGGCGATCTACTTCTGTAGTGATATCGCCTCGGAAACCCAAGGAGTCGCCTCTATGAGTTGGATCTGACATCCAACTTGATGGCAGTGAGTTTGGTTTGTTTTTTTCTCTGAATCTCAGCTTTCTCACAAGATGGAGGCTTCAGTCATCACTAGATAACCCCTGAGGTCACCTGAGGCTCTAAAATGTTGTGTGTTCAGGAAACATTTTGACATGGATTTCCTCTCTGTGGTGACCTGGCAGAAGGGGAAGTCTTGAGGTTCTGGGCGTTCTCGGTTTGCTGCAGGGGACAGCCTTCCTCTTCTCAGAAAGCTCCTGCCCACGGACGCCGTAACAGCATCCAGCCGCAGCCACAGTGGCGGGGCCGTGAATGAAGTCCTGAAGGCGCTGCTTGCTTGCTCTGGACCTTCACCTTCCAGCACCTTTCTTAGAAAGGCTGACTGCCCTCTTCTCAGCCCTACCACCTCTCATCTAATGCTGCCTGTACAACTTTCCCCATAAGCTCTCAACACAGGATGACATTCTAAATCATGAATCACACACGGCATCTGTACTGTGCAAAAGCATCACCCCAGACAAATGGAAGAACTATGATGAACACTAGAAATGACTAAAACATAACAAGCACTGTCACACACAAAACCTGTGTTTTGATACTCTATCCACAAAGGGTATAAAACATCAGTGGCTTAATATAATAAAAAGATTTCTCACTCACATCACTTTCTGGTTAAGACATTTGGCATCCAGGGTCTTTCTACTTATGGTTTTCCATACCCTCGTTGTTGCTAGCTGCCATCAAGACCGCCCCCAGCTGCCCGGTCCCCATCATCAGTTGCGGATCGGACCCTTGTAACCCGCAGGGTTTTCATTAGCTGACTTCTGGAAGGAGACTGCCAGGTCTCTCTTCCCAGTCTGTCTAGAAGCTCTGCTGAAACCTGCTTGGCATCA